GCCCCCGGCGACGGCGACACGGCCACTGCGCCGGCGCGGTCGCCTGGCACCCGAGTCACGTGGTGGTAGCCCCGCCCCCGGAGGGCTGGGCCGGCAGGCACCATAGAGAGAGCGCTAGGAGAGCTAGAGAAGCACCTGTCTCGGTTGGGTCTCTGCTGCCCCCTAGTGGTAGGCGGTGCTCAGTGAGGAGTAAGGACCAGACAGTGAAGGTCAAGGACATACAGACTGAGGATGTCAGAAGAGTCTAGAGCAGATGCAAAACTCCGAAAAAGAAGGAAATTAAGACAGGTGATGTGGGAAGATGCTTGTCTAGAATGGGCAAATCCGAGTTCGATTTCACACGCACGCGCGGGCATGCACAGTCATTTTAAAGATTGAGCCTACAGTGGCTGGGGAGATAGCTCAGCTGGTACAGTGCTTGTGCTACAAGCTTGATGATGGTTTGGATCACCATCATCCACTGTACTGGCTGGTTTTGTGTGTCCACTTGACACAAGTCGTCAGAGGAAGGGGCCTCAGATAAGGAAATGCCTCCTTGAGATCAGCTGTAAGGCATTTTCTCATTTAGCGATCAGTGAGGGAGGGCTCAGCCCATGGTGGGTGGTGCCATTCCTGGGCTGGTGGTCCTGGGTTCTATAAGAAGGTGGGCTGAGTAAGCCATGGGAAGCAAGCCAGTAAGCAGCTCCCCTCCATGGCCTCTGCATCAGCTTCTGCTCCAGGACTCTGCCCTGTTTGAGTTCCTGTCCTGACTTCTTTCAGTGATGAACTGCAATGCTGAAATGTAAACCAAATAAACCCTTTCCTCTCCAACTTGCTTTTCGGTTATGGTGTTTTGTTGCAGCAATAGAAATCCTAACTAAGACAAAATGGTACAAGGAGTGGGGTGTTGTGGGGACAGACCTATCCATGTTTGGGGAGGATTGTGGAAGGACTTTGGAACTTTGAGCTAGAAGAGCCATTGAGTATTAAGATCTCTGGGCTGTTCTGTGGGAACCTGGAAGATAAGAATGTTGAGAGAAATGCAAAAAATGGAGGCCTGGCTTGTGACATTTCAGAGGGAAGTTTAAAGACTCCACCAGGGCCATTTGTTATTTTGAATTAAGATCCTGTGGTTCTGGTTAGCTGGGGCTGAAGAATCAGCTGTGATTAACAAGAACTACTAAAGTGAAACTTCGTTTTGCTGGGATACTTGATGCTGGTCGGCTGGAATTAAGAAATTAGCGGTGATTAAGAAGAGACCAGCATCATTGAGGTAAAATAAATATTCTGGGAAATGTTTCCTGAGAGCACAGAGAAGCTGTGTTCCAGAGGTGGGCAAGGTTGTACCTCATGTCGGCAGCAGGACTTGGTAGTGTGTAAGAGTCACCCAGGTGGTACTGGTTTTGAAGGCATGAAGGGGTCATGGAGAGTAGCTGAGGCTTGGCACTGTGAGAGGTCAGGAGAGGCCATTGGTGAAGGTGCAGCCTCAGTGGCAATTGAAGGACCAGGACTGAAGGGGTCATGAAGAGAAGTTGAGGCTTGGTACCATGAGGAGAGCCTATGGGAGGCTATTGGTGAAAGTGCAGCCCAGCTGCAGCAAGGGACCCCAGCATTTTGGAGGTGCCTGTCCCAAGGGATGACCACCAAGAACAGCAGCAGCAGTGGAGCCAGCCAGAGTCTAGAAGACAAGCTGTGTGTGTGCAGAGGGCGGAGCTGGGGAAGTGACTCAAGCCCTTGGGAGGAGTCCAGAAGATCATGGGTGACTCCCAGATGTTGGACGGTTGGAATTTTGTTTTGCTTTGCATTGATTGTGACTGTGCCCTGATTCTTCCCCCTTGAAGTAAGAACATATTTTACTGGGGCCCACACTTCGAATTTTAAAAGACTTCGGATTTTTAAAGAGATTGACTATTTTAAAGGAACTGAAATGTTAATGTGTTTGAATTTGTAAAAGACTGTGGGACTTTTAAACTTACTTAAGATTTTGGGGATGAATAAGAAAGGAAGGGTTGTGACTTAATAGTGATGTGTTTGTGGGTCAAGTTGACAAGGGGTCAGTTGTGCTGGCTGGTTCTGTGTGTCAACTTGACACAAGTTATAGAGTCATCAGAGGAAGAAGCCTCAGATGAGGAAATGCCTCCTTGAGATCCAGCTGTAAGGTATTTTCTCATTTAGTGATCTATGGGGGGAGGGCCCAGCCCATGGTGGGTGGTCCCATCCCTGGGCTGGTGGTCCTGGGTTCTATAAGAAGGTGGGCTGAGTTAGTCATGGGAATCAAACCAGTAAGCAGCTCCCCTCCATCCCCTGCATCAGCTCCTGCCTCCAGGATCCTGCCCTGTTTGAGTTCCTGTCCTGACTTCCTTCAGTGATGAGCAGCAATGCTGAAGTGTAAGCCTAATAAACCCTTTCCTTGCCAACTTGCTTTTGGGTCATGGTGTTTCATCACAGCAATAGAGACCCTAATTAAGACACCTACTTTAAAGAAGAGTAGGCATGTCATCGAGCCCTGTGATCCCATCACCGAGGAAGCAGAGATAATCCACAACAGTTTACCAGCCAGCCAGCTCAGCCAATCAGTGAACTCCAAGTTCAATGAGAGACCCTGTCACAAGAAAATGGTGGACCATGAGCTCACTGTGGCTATGATTACTTGCACAAGGTCAGTCAATATTCCAAAAAGCAGCACTAATTTAATCAGTTATTTCAAGGGGCATGTGATGGAGGTTCCTAGTAGAATGGGAGGGAGAAGTTTGGGCTGTATACAATCAAATGCATTATTTACATGTACAAAATTGTCAAAGAATAAATAACAGATATTCTATTTTAATAGTGGGGGCGGGGCAGGAGAGATGGCTCAATGATTAAGAGCACCTGTGATTCTTACAGAGGACCTGGGTTCGGTTCCCAGGACCCACAGGATGTCTCACAGCCATCTGTAACTCCAGTCCCAGGGGATCTGGTGCTCTCTTTTGGCCTCTGCAGCACTGCATGCACCTGGTGTACACACACATACCACTCGGGCACACGCATGCATCAAAACACCCATACACATAAAATAAAAATAGGTTAATATTCTCAAAAACAAAGGTGGAGGGCAAATGAGGAAGACACTGGATGCTGACCTCTGACCTCTGACTTCTGGCTTCCACATGTTACACACACACACACACAGGTACACATACACACAAATGCGAGTCCTCATTGAGAGAGGCATTTCTATGTTGCTCCTCCTTTACAGTTTACAGGAAACTAGACCCAAGAAGTTAAGTAACTGTAAGGGCTGGTTGTTGAGAAGCAAGGCTTTGCCCTGATCCAGAGCCCACATGCTTCATTATTCCTGCCCTTTCCCAATAACCCAAAGGAGAGAGCCCTTCTGTCCATTAATCTGGATTCCATCCTGGGATGGCTAAGCTAGGTTTGCCTGGACTGAAGCTGTTCCTGGGATGCAGAACTTTCTGTTTCAAAACTGATAGTGCTGCAAAAACCAGGCTAGTTGATTGCCCTAAGCCATGCCTACTTGCTCTGGGAGCTAACACCACCAGTAATTACATCTCTCTCATCTTGGCTCCTTTATCTTACCCTCTCTCTTTCCACAATAATGTCACTGTCTTCTCTTTTGGATTTTCTATCCAGTTGAGATCTTTCATTAACTATCCTGGGAACACAAGGTAGGCATGGGAGCTCACATTTAGAACTCGGACAGTAGGGAGGCTAAGGCAGGAAAGTGCTATGAAGTTGAGGACAACCTGGGCTTCAGAGTGCTATTGGGCTAGACTAAGCTAGAGTGAAACACTGACTCATAAAAATCAATAATAAATGATTCCACAAAGGCCAGCTTAGTAAACCAACAAGTTTATTGGGGTGACTTATATGATGAATGAAGAGCTATTTACAGAAGCAGAAATGACTCAAAGGCAGCTGCATCACTGAGACCCACCCCAGCCTGAATGTCCCAGTTCAGAAAAGTTGCATCTCCAGAGATCCCTGCATGACTTGCAGGCCACATACCAGGCCAGAGAGTCTCCTTCATCTGCTTCCATAAACTGGTTTTATTAGCTTCAGGAACTTCCTGAGAGTTATAGGTTGTTCACTTCCTGAGTTTCATGAGCCTCCTTTTTGGAAGGAATGTTTTAGTTCAGAGGAGATTGCTACACAGAACAGACAAGTTGCAGAATTAGAGACACGGCCCTTGCCTACAGGGAGCCCAGAATCCAAAGGTTTTATTATAAGCAAGGATGCAGTGATGACAATATTGTATGACAAATGCTGTTAGCAAGGTGTATAGCAGGTAGCAGAGTGAAAGAGAAGTTGTGAAAAGATGCAAAATGACTTCTCAGAAGAGAAGATTCTCAGTTGAAGCTTAAAGGGATGGGTAGAAGTGGTCCAGAGCAGAGGGAATTGGGTCTCCAGCACCACACCTGGGCTTTGAGGAACTGAAGGAATGTGAGGCTTGAGCCCCGAGGCAGGAGATGGAAGGAAAGCCATGCTGTGGTTTGCATATGGTTCATCCTCCAAAGGTTCGTGCATCAGAAACTTGGTGTCCACCGTGCCAGTGCTGAGGTGGTGGGACCTTTAAGAAGTGGGGTCTAGGACTGGAGAGCTGGTTCAGTGGTTAAGAGTACTGGCTACTCTTTCAGAATATAGATGTTCAGTTCCCAGCACTCACGTGGGGTGTCTCCTAACCTGTAACTCCAGCTCCAGAATACCCGGAGCCCTCTTCTGGCCTCCACAAGTACTGCACTCATGTACACATGCACGCATATGCATACACACTCACAAATAAATAAAAATTAAATCTTTTTTAAAGAGACATGGGTTCGTGAGAGCTCCACCCTGGTGAAGGATAAATGCTGTATTTCCAGAAGTGGTTCAGGAGAGCTCCACCCTGGTGAAGGATAAATGCTGTATTTCCAGAATGAGTTCTTACAAAGAGAGGCCCTCCAACTCCTTGGTCTTCTGCGTGAAGCCGGCTCCCTCTCTTTTCCACTGGACTGTGATGTACCAGAAGGCCATTGCTAGGATATCAGCACTACACTGTCTGGACCTTCCAGGCACCAAAATTGTGAGCCAAATGGCCTCTTCATTTACAAAATACCCAAACTAGTGCGTTTTATTATAGTAACACAAAACAAGTGAACTCAGCTAGTCTGGATCTGGTAAGATCTGACAGCCAGGAACTTGGTCTCTGAGGACAAGTAGCAGAGTGCCCCTGCTGTCTGACACTTGCCATGGGTGACCAATAGTGTCCGTGACACAGCAGCCATGGTGATCAATAGTGTTCGTGACACGGCGGCCATGGTGATCAATAGTGTTCGTGACACGGCGGCCATGGTGATCAATAGTGTCCGTGACACAGTGGCCATGAGTGATCAATAGTGTCCGTGACACTCGCCATGGGTGATCAATAGTGTCCGTGACACAGCAACCATGGTGATCAATAGTGTCCGTGACACAGTGGCCATGAGTGACCAATAGTGTCCGTGACACAGTGGCCATGGGTGACCAATAGTGTCCGTGACACGGCGGCCATGAGTGATCAATAGTGTCCGTGACAC